GATGTTAACCACCCTTGCAGCCCAGGAATAAATCCTACTTGGCTGTGGTGAATAATCTTTTTAATGTACTGCTGGATCCTATTAGTTAGTATCTTGGTGATATTCATCAGGGATATTAGTCTGTAATTTTCCTTTTTGGTGGGGTCTTTGTCTGGTTTTGGGATCAAGGTAATGCTGGCCTCATAGAAAGAGTTTGGAAATTTTCCTTCCATTTCTGTTTTTGGAATAGCTTCAGGAGAATAGGTATTAACTGAAACTAATAATACACTATATGTTAATTAATTGTTTTTTTTTTAAGTCTAGAGCCAAAAGATAACTTTTGTGCCAGAAAAATTCAGACTTCTATGATTTCTCTAAAGGTTCCCTTCATTCCCATCTGGTGATTTCCAGTCTCTGTTTTCATCTAGCCTTCTGCCTGTCTCTGGCAACTCCTCTTACACTGAATTCTCTCATCATCTTTTGCTTGCGCTACAGACTAATAACTTTGTAGATATTTCTCTCCTTTAGGGCTCTTATCCTTAACTGTTTTTAGCATCTATTAAATAAATCTCTCTGTGGTCTCTAGTAATGAGTGCACCCTGGCTATAGAATCTGCGTTGGTTTGGGAAGCTGAAACCAAGAGCTAAGAGGTCCCCCGTCTAGGGAGGAGTGGGTAAAAGCACATCATAATAGACTTTAGTGGTCTGAGATCCTCCTTCTTCTATTAGACCCTAAATGTGTGTGCTAAAAATAGTTTACTTTTCTAATAATATTAACCACTCCATCAGCTCTGGTCATCGGTATTAGTGGTTAAAGGGGAATAGGAAAAGCAGAATTCAGAGCAGATTTTAAGGAAAATAATGATGCATGTGAAGTTTGTCTTCCCATTTCAGGCCTCAGGACATCAAAGTCTTATTTTTCCAATAATAGTTATCCAGACCATCTCTGCCTTGTAGGACTGTACTTGCTTCTCATCCTATCTTTATTTATCTATCTATCCTGTCGTTTATGTAGTTAATATTTTCTGTGTAATTTCACCAAGTACATAACTTTTGAGATTTTTTTTCTTGGAATGTCTCCATGGGAATGATAGAAGATCATTGTATATAAATGGCATATTGATATTTCTTGCCTCTCAGAATTGAGTAAATCTTAAATTTAGGCAAATATTCATTTTAAGTAAAATGAATTCGCAGTAGTGTAAACTTCAGCCAAAAATCATAGGATGGGGCAGCCCTGGTGGCTCAGAGGTTTGGCGCCGCCTTCTGCCCGGGGTGTGATCCTGGGGACCCAGGATCGATTCCCAGGTTGGGTTCCATGCATGGAGCCTGCTTCTCCTTCTGCCTGTGTCTCTGCCTCTCTCTCTCTCTCTCTCTCTCTGTGCCTCTCATGAATAAGTAAATAAAAATCTTTGAAAAAAAATCATAGCATGGAAGATAATTCTTTGTAATTATTTTTTAAATGACCCATAAAATGCAATTTCCTGCTCCACTTCTGTTTAAGATGGTATCTGATGTAAACATATACGAGATACTAAGAGGTGACCTATTTGAGAAGTTTCAAATGGCTACAAAGGCAATGTGGTAAATAACACATTTTATTAAGAGGATCCCCCTGGGCTCTATTACTTCCACTCTTTTCTAGGTAAGTGCCTAAACTTCTCTCTCTTTGACTTTTATAAATTTCAAAATAGGCATTCAGTTTCAATGTGAATTGAAGCCACTGTGTTCCTTTTCACAAGGTAAGTGCAGAGAAATTGAAATTACTACTTACCTTTCACTGCATGGTTGAAATGAAGCCCACCTGTCTTCAGGTGGTCACAATCAGAGTATCTATATTAGGAGTGGGGGAAGCAAATCATGGAATCTCACAAGTTGGGCTTCCACCTGCCTTCCTGATGGGTTGTGTGGACCCCCAGCATAGCACAGAGATTTTCAAGTAGTCTCTAACTCATAGTTGCTCCAAAAATCTTTTGGTTATGCTGGAGTTGGCTTAGGCTGAGTGCTGGAGATAAAAATGAGATTGTAGCCAGGTCTACAATGGGAGTAAATATGGAGAAACTAGAGAGTAAATAGGAAGAAAGTGGCCAAAATCGGTGAATTCTAAATCTTGAGAAATTTTCTAGTTAAAGTAAATGTACTGAATTGAGTGTGAAGAACACAAAGAAACTGTTTATTTCCCTCTTTTAAGATCTTATTTATTAATTTGACAGAGAAAGAAGAGTACAAGTAGGGGGAATGGCAGGCAGAGGGAAAGGGAGAAACAGGTTCCCACTGGGCAGAGAGCCCATCACCGGGCTCAATCCCAGGACCTGGAGATCATGACCTGACCCAAAGGCAGACACTTAACCAACTGAGCCACCCAGGTGCCCCAAAACTGTTTATTTCAATGAGATTTTACAAACTCCGAGACAGGAAGAATTGACCTTTCCATCTGGTCATTCATCTTCACTGCAGAATCGGAATTAATTTGGGCCATCAAACTGGACTGCAAGTTACTCATCAGATAGAACAAAGAGGTAATTTGAATATGGGTTCTGATAAGGAATGGGAGTATAAGCACTTGTCTGAATAAGAAAAGAAAGAAAAACCAGGGCATTGCCTGATCCTGCAGGAATAGAATCTGTTCTGATGAGTTCTCTGGGCAAGAACAATGTGATGTTGTAGTGAAATTCCCTAGATGAAAACTGAGAAACTCAGAGTCAATTCAGAATTCTGGGTTAGATGTCAAGATTACCATACCAGGAAAGAGAACTTATGAAGGAACAGCATCTGAGGTTTCAAGCTAAGTTTGAAAAAAATTAACCAATGCAAGAATTCAGCTCTGAATGCCATTAATGTATGACTGGAAAAGCAAAACAAATATGTATATTCACACAACAGTTCAACAAACATTAAAGTTGTTTGGCCAATCTATTGCAAGTAGGAGGCCTTGCACAAAGTAGATCCATAATATTTCGAATAATTAGATAAATGAGAGAACTGATGAATTAATGGATAAATGATTGAGTGGAAACATAGATGGATAGATGACTGAATTGACCAACCGGATGGATAATAGAGTGCACACCTAAATGTCATGTTTTTAAACCACCCTCCCAACATGGACAAAAATGAGGTAGTAAGTTTCAGCTGCCCCCCAGGGGGAAGGAATCTTTAGGTACCAGTTATTACAACAGAAAATAAGTCTTCTGCCTTCATAACCACTACAAAATGAGCCCCTCGACCCCACATAGCCTTTTCTTTCTCCACCACTTCTCAGTCAGCCTCAAGTTTCATTTATTTCTAGTTAGAATTAAAGCTGGAGATATTCCTCTAACAAAGCACATATCTCATATTTGCTTCATTCATTCTTTCTACATTTAACAAATATCAAGGACCCATTATTGCCTTTCATTCTGCTGTAGGATCAGGACTTAATATAGATGATTAGATACCAAATCTATTCTCCATAAACAAGCAATGCACCTGAGAAAAAAGAAATACTTACACATACATCCTACTAAAAGCCAGAGAAACAAAGAAATAAAGTAAAAGCCAGAGTAAGATAGATATACAAGTGAAGGCCAAAAACAGTTAGAGGGTATGGGGTAAAAGGGAACACGGAGTGAGGTAGATGTGCTTAAGCAAATAAATGTCAGCTAGTCAGAGTGTAAGAATCACAGATATGGAAGCTTTATACACCTGGGAGAGATGTAAAGCTTATCCACTAATCCTCTAGATACCAACAAGTTACCACATTTTCAGATTCAATTCCCTTATTCTAAAATTTGAAATAATGTAGCCCCCATAGTTTTGTTGAGATCTTCAAATAGAGAAAAAGCTAAATGTTTGATAATACCTACATATAATTGGTATCAATTAAATATTGGGTGTCATTATTTTCCATAATCTGTGCAGGCAGAGAAAGAAGTAATCAAGACAGAAGTATGATGGAAGAAATAGAAATTATAGTGAGATGGAAAAAAAATGGTAGGATTTGGGCCAAGATTTAAAGGAAAAAAATTTCAAAAGTATCAGCTGAAGTCAATATGGAGAATAGGAAAATAATTAGGGTACCAGAGCAAGTTTTGTCTGACCAACTGGTACCAGATTCTGCAGCACAGAGCCACCCAGAACCACATGAGGAATGTTTAAAATACTGGTCACCAGGATCCAGAAAAGACCAAGTAAAACGAGTTCTCTGCAGGTAGAGAAATTACTTCAAATAGTGGTTAATCTTTAAATGCCAACCAGAGAAGTTTATCATTATTCAGGAGCATTATAGAATTCACATTCTGGTCATAGGCTCATATAGAGTAGATGCAAATCCTATCTGTTCAGATTGAGGAATTAAATGAGTCTTCTAGATCTGAGTTTTGGAGGTGGGGGAAGGGTTAACCGTTAAAAATACACATTAGCACTATTCTTTCTTAACCCCATTCCCCACCACATACATACTCACACACAAATACATTTCAAAATTTTCCCTTGAATCAAATAAACCAATATACTAGAGAGAGAGACATAAAAACTAGAAGTATAATAAATATAAGTAATTATTATTATGTATTATTATTATTAAGTAATATTGGTCTATTGTGAGCTTTTAAATGGAGAGTGAAAGACTGTGTAACTCAAGGAACCAGAGATGATTAGAATCACTTCTCCAAGAGGTATATTGGCTATAATATAACTGGTAGTGTTGCAGGATAAAATCAAAGCACAGTTCGAGATGAAACCAATCAGTCATAAACTAAACTGAAAAATTATGTAAAGGTCACCAGAGCTTATTTGTAGGAGAGTAGTCACAAGGGAAAAGAGCACAAACGGCTGGTTCAGGAGCCAAGCAACTGGCAACCAAGTGAGGGAAGAATTCTGGAGAGGGAGGAAGAGTAGATTTTTTAAAAATCCATGCAAAAGGTGAACACACTGAAGAGAGATACATGCATACATAGAATGAAGTAGAAATCCTAAGGTGGCACAAAAAGGTGAATATTTCATGTGTCTTTTTGTCCTCATTCCAGTGGAACATCTTCTACCATGGTCTTAGGAAACCACAGCACCATCACAGAATTCATCCTCCTTGGACCATCTGCTGACCCCCATATCCAGGTTCTGCTCTTTGTGCTTTTCCTAGAAATTTACCTCCTGACCATCATGGGGAACCTGATGATAATGATAGTGACTATGACGGATACCCATCTCCACACCCCCATGTACTTCTTCTTGAGCCACCTCTCCTTCCTGGATCTTTGTTTAACTTCAGTAATTGTGCCCAAGATGCTGGAGAATCTCGTATCCCACAAGAAATCAGTATCAGTAGAAGGCTGCCTCACTCAGGCATTTTTCGTGTTTTCCATCGCCGGAACTGAAGTTTTTGTGCTCTCTGCCATGGCCTATGACCGCTACACTGCCATCTGTTACCCCCTGCTCTATGGCCAGCTGATGAGTAAACAGTTGTGTGGCGGTCTGGTATGGGTCTCATGGGGACTGGGCTTTCTGGATGCTCTCATTAACACTCTCATGGCTTGGAATTTGGACTTCTGTGAGGTTCAGGTCATCCCTCACTTCAGCTGTGAATTGCCATCTCTATTCCCTCTATCTTGCTCTGACATCTCCACCAACTTTATAGTCCTGGTGTGCTCTGCCATCATTCATGCTTCTGGAACCTTGCTTCTGGTCATCTTCTCATATACTCGCATTGTCTCCACCATCCTGAGCATCAGCTCCACCTCAGGCAGAAGTAAAGCCTTCTCCACCTGCTCCTCCCACCTCACTGCAGTGAGCTTTTTCTATGGATCTGCTTTTCTTCGCTATTTCATGCCAACCTCAGGCTCACCTCTGGAGCTGATTTTCTCCATACAGTACAGTGTGGTCACTCCTCTAATAAATCCCCTTATTTACAGCTTGAAGAACAAGGAAGTAAAAGCAGCTCTGAAAAGAATGCTGCAAAAAGGTTTAAAACAGCTCAGAGAGCAGAGAACAGGTAGAGGATGACTGGGAGATGGGGAAGAATCTTATCAGATGGTTGAAAAACAGATGTAGGGAAAATTTTCTTAGTTCATAACAGAATGACAAAATATCTTATAAGGGCTAGTTTCCTTTGGAATGCCTGGGAAGATCCAAGAGCTATTTGCTTATGTTGGCTCGTATTTAATTTATTCAGAGACAAAACAATGGATTTATTCTCCCTTTTAATTATGAAACATTCCCATTGAGATTAGCACTAAGAAAACTGACAAGAAACTGAATTCTTGTTGGGTCTAATATTTAGAGGGGAAGCTTTGCTAGAAGTAAAAGCACCAAGAAGTCCATTGATAATAAAGAATCATAAATTCCAGACTCAGGAGCTGGAAGGGAGGTTGGGGATAAGCTTGGACTAGATAGGGACTTGTAGAAAAGATAGAAGGATCTAAAAATGGCTGGCAGAGGCAAAGGCAGATTCACAAACACTTTGCATACTTTGTGCCTCTCCTGGTACCTTCACCTGGTGGCAACAGGGAAAGAATCCACTCTTTCTGGGGTAGCCATCGGCCCTAGTGTGTCACTGGGGCACCACTGTTGGGATGCTGAGGAGGTGCTAAGGCCAGGGGGCAGTCATCGATGAGGATGCTGGGGCTGCTGAAGGGATACTGCCTTGCCTCCCCCAGAACCAGATTAGCTGCTTCTCTTAGTTTCCACCCACACTTTCCATTGGTTGACCTAAACAGAAGCCACCAGCCTGGGAATCTGGGAGATATCCTCTGTGGGCATCTAGTCCAGGTAATATAAAGCCAAGTACACTGAATAAGCATAGGACTGAGGGCCAACAGAAAACTGGTGTATCAGATAATGGTAAACATGAGCCTGTCAGGCAGGGAAAGGAAGGGAAGGGAAGGCAAGGCAAGGCAAGGGAGAGAAAGGGAAGGAAAAGAAAAAGAAAAGAAGATTAGACAAGGAAAGACCAGATGGTAGAAGGGAGAATGGGAGGAATAAGGGGAAATTTACAAAGAAGACTTCAGTAAGGGTCAGACAAGTAAGGGTACCCCCCCGGAGGACACCCTTGGAAGAAAAGGAATTCGAAACCCAAGGCTATAGATGCACTGGCGCCCTCAGGTGGTGTGAGGAATTCACTGCACCAATGTACACAGCAGTTGAAAGAAGGAAGAAATCCTCTAACTCTATGCTCAGGCAAAACATGGCCTGAAAATAGTCAACAGTTCCGTTTTCAAACTCTAGAATCCTAGGAAATTTCAAACTCAAGGACTGTCTTGCTCTGGGGGATTTTTCTTCCCTGTTGGTAACCTTCCCATCTCGCAGGATTTCTGTTCCCACCCAGGCACAGTACTTGACAGATATCCCCCAGAGTTAGAGGATGCTCCAAGTCTACCTAAGTCCTTTTTTCAAATGATTTGGCTTGAAAAAATTATCTATAATCTAGTGATACAATAATTGAAAAACCTGCATTTACCTAATTTCAAAATGCCATACATGATAGACCTATTTCAGGCCTTTCCTACAATTTTGCCATATTGGTATGTCTATTTTCCTATTTTACCTTCCTTGATAATTCAAGGAGTTTTCAGTTTTACTTTTCAATTTCCCTTTCTCCATTAATGGTGTAATTTGGGGGGGTCTGGATATGTTATACTTTATTGATATACATGACAAGGTAGATCTTCCCAAGCCGCTCCCCTTCCTCAGGGGGTCTGGGATGTAAATTGGAGGTCAGGAGATTCTCAGTGTGTTGGGGATTAAGCCAGGGCAGGGACTCCCCAGCAGCTGAGGGCCTCTCTCTTCCTCTTATTCTCGCTGGGGCTGGTGATCCAGGAGGCTCTTACTGCTTGGAGGCCATGTGGACAATGAGGTCAACCACCTGGTTGCTGTAGCTGAATTCATTGTCATACCAGGAAATGAGCTTGACAAAGTGGTCATTGAGGGCAATGCCAGTCCCAGTGTCGAAGGTGGAAGAGTGGGTGTCACTGTTGAAGTCGCAGGAGACAACCTGGTCCTCAGTATAGCCCAGGATGCCCTTGAGGGGGCCCTCTGATGCCTGCTTCACCACCTTCTTGATGTGGTCATATCTGGCAGCTTTCTCCACATGGCAGGTCAGATCCACAACTGACACATTGGAGGTGGGGACACAGAAAGTCATGCCAGTGAGATTCCCATTCAGCTCAGGGATGACCTTGCCCACAGCCTTGGCAGCACCAGTGGAAGCAGGGATGATGTTCTGAGCAGCCCCTCGGCCATCACGCCACAGCTTCCCAGGGGGGCCATCCATGGTCTTCTGGGTGGCAGTGATGGCATGGATGGTGGTCATGAGGCCTACCACAATGCCGAAGTTGTCATGGATGACTTTGGCCAGAGGAGCCAAGCAGGTGGTGGTGCAGGAGGCATTGCTGACAATCTTGAGGGAGTTGTCATTCTTCTCGTGGTTCATGCCCATCACAAACATGGGGGCATCAGTGGAAGGAGCAGAGATGATGACCCTCTTGGCCCCACCCTTCAAGTGAGCCCCAGCCTCCTCCATGGTGGTGAAGACCCCAGTGGGCTTCACAACCTACTCAGCACCAGCATCACCCCATTTGATGTTGGCAGGTTCTCACTCCTGGAAGATGGAGATGGACTTCCCATTGATGACAAGTTTCCCATTCTCAGTCTTGACCATGCCATGGAATTTGCCATGGGTAGAATCATACTAGAACATGTACACCATGTAGTTGAGGTCAATGAAGGGGTCATTGATGGCAACAATATTCACTTTGCCAGAGTTAAAAGCAGCCCTGGTAACCAGGCACCCAGTATGGCCAAATCCGTTCACTCCGACCTTCACGATCGTGTCTTGGGGACATGGCTGGCACTGCACCAGAAGATGCGGCTGTCTGTCGAATGGGGAGGAGCAGAGAGCAATGGTGTAATTTTTTTATCTTTAATAAATATTCGACCCTTAATATATGATTCATCATTTATACATTTTGAAGATTCTTGTTTTATTTTTATTATTTCTTTTTTCCATTCACTTTTATACTGCAAGGATTTATGAAACAAGTTAGCACCTGCTTAGTTTTGTTCCCATTTCTCACTGTAAGAAAAATATGAAATAGATATGGCAATACATTTTTAGTGTTTCTAATATTAACCTATTTTTTTGTCATGCAATATTTCCAAAAATATTTGAAGCCAGGGTTTTCCTCCTTTCTTTCTTGTTATATGCCTTAAAAATTCATATTGCAGAATTTAATTAATCATAATCCTTTAAAGAAGATGTGGTCTATGTATACAATGGAATATTACTCAGCCGTTAAAAATGACAAATACCCACCATTTGCTTTGACGTGGATGCAACTGGAGGGTATTATGCTGAGTGAAATAAGTCAATCGGAGAAGGACAAACATTATATGATCTCATTCATTTAGGGAATATAAAAATTAGTAAAAGGGAATAAAGGGAAAGGAGAGAAAATAAGTGAAAATATCAGTGAGGGTGACAAAACATGAGAGACACCTAACTCTGGGAAATGAACAAGGGGTAGTGGAAGGGGAGGTGGGCGGGGGGGTTGGGGTGACTGGGTGATGGGCCCTGAGGGGGGCACTTGGCGGGATAAGCCCTGGGTGTTATGCTGCATGTTGGCAAATTGAACTCCAATAAAAAAATCATAATCCTTTGCAACGTGTGATAATTAGTCCATACATGTACATCTTTTTTTTTAGTTTACTTTTTGTTGCATATTTGTTTGCTTTTTTTTTAATGATAACATAAACCCTCCATGGTCTCACAACTTAACCTAACAACTAAAATGTTACTAATAACCTGCATTTATGAACAGGCTTCTCTCCTTCCTAAACAGTATCATTGCCAAATATTTCACATGTCTTTTTTTAATTCCACAAAATAGACACCAATTTTATTATATTAGTGTAATTTCAGTTTGCCAACATTTAACCATTGATGTCAATGATTTCTTCTTGCAACTTAAATACCTTTGGGGGATTATCTTCCTTCTTCCTCTAGTATACTCTGTGCTAAGTAGATACAGATGACTCTCAGAATGGAATATTCCACTCACAACAGAATTTCTCACAGAGATCTTTCATATTCCCCTTCAGATATCAATGCATTATATACAATCTACTGACATTATAAGGAAACTTCCTTCAAAAATACAGGATGCACACAAGGGTCAGGCCTCCACTTCCTGTAATTTCCATAAAAACTATGTTCATGTTCTTACCTTAAAGAGGCTCAAAGCATACCTCACATACCTACACAATCCCCACTCAGTAAGTAGAATCCATTCTCTCCCATTGTTGGGTGATTCACCTTGATAACCCAGGACCAACCTAAAAACAGAGAAGTTCCCACATATCTGTACCTCCAAGATCAGTGGAGGGTGAGGAAAGAGAATGAGAATGTAAGGAAAGATAAAGTCATTAGAAACAAGTTGTTGTTCTCTTTCCTTGGATATCAATGACAAAAAGAGATGATAGGTTTTTAAATTTATAACTCTTATTCATACATCTTATCATTGCCTTCTTCTTAGCCATTAGCAAAATAGATAAGGAAATCAATATTTACTGAGCTTTTACTATTAGCCAGGCATGATATACGGAATTTTTTATATTTTATGTCTACATGATAATTACTCCTCTACAATTTTGACAAATAATTCCATTTTCTTGCAATCTGTCAATTCTTTAAAAGTATTTAACACTATCATTTCTCCAATTACAAAACAATCCACTTTTATTTTAGAAAATACGAAAATTTTTGAAAAGGATAAAAAGGCAGTATCACCCATAATCCCAAAGTGTTGTCTGTGGCTCTTTCTTCAGCATCCAAGAAGGTAAAAATAAAAATATTCTCCTCTTTGGATGCATATAGAAATATTTACAGATATGTGAATATAGACAGCTAGGTATGCACATTATTTCTTTACTCTTATCAGCTGAGAAGACCTAAAAGTAACAACATCCCAGTAACAAGGAGCACACTGAGTACTCAGAGCTTGATTTCT